TCAATATAGTTCGGCACTCAGGTGCTACTGCCTATAGTTGCTTCATAGAGATTGTGGATTGTATGGTGCCCAAATCTTTTAGAATATCATATGGTTCTATATTAGTGGTAATTCTCAATGTTCATTTCTTCTTCCGAGTCCTAGACACCGATGCAAGTAAATTGATTTTCTCTATATTGGAAATTTGTAAAGCTATTGGAATTGAATTTGACGGAGCCTATAAAATTAGTTCTTTCAACGGATAAGATTGTTCTCTCAATTAGGTTGATATTGGTTCCTTAGAATTCACACCTCTTAGAGGATCTTTTAAAAGAAAGGACATTTTCCAAAACTGTGTAGAAAACGGAATAACTCGACATGGAACCAAAGCCTCCATAATGGGTACCTCATTAGGATGCACAACCGATTCAGGTCTTATACTGAGTAAGAGGCCAATGACAGGACCTGGATTGGATGGCCCCATAATTGGGTCCAATTGGTCCTTCGCTTCAAGATCACCCAAATGATGAATTGGTCCTTTCTCCTTTTGCTGACTTCTAGTATGGGTAGCTTGGACTACTTCTACCTGATAAATTGGTGTTTCTTGTGTCTCGTTATTTTTTTCCTCTACAATTTGCACAGTCGATTGTATCTTCTGATCATGATTATTAAGGTTAAATGGAACATTGCATTGATAATGAAAATGACTTGATTGCTTGTAATTTCCACATACTAGAGCATATTCGTCTATAAACCTTGGATTAGAGTATTCACTGGCATAATGACCAATTTGATTTATCAGTAGCAAAGTAGTGGTTTTTAATCCATATCATCAGATACACTTGGAGTCTCCACTGGAATATATCTACGAGGCCGATTCTAGGTAGCCATAGTAAATGATCTTGGCTGACTAGTTGCTACTGGTCGAGAATTGGACTGCTGGATTGGTATAGTTTGGAGATTACTCCCTTGATTATTTCCATCATTCTGCATCTTTGTTCCATAAACCAGATTATAATTAGTATTTTAAAAATTTCCAAAGCTATGATTAGGTCAATTTGAGCGATTACTATTCCAACCACTCATATTTCCAGTCTGTACTTGATTAACATCTCATTGAGTTGGCGGTATCGTCTCGTTATTGAACTATTGTTGCCTTTGTAAATGCCTGCAGTTTTGGGTAGGGTACTTTCCTCCACAAAATATATATTAATCACCCGTTTGTCTGGGTGATGGACATTCCATATCAAAATGACCTTGTCCCTTATAATTATTACACCATATATTAGGTCTCGTATTAAAAGGCTTATGTCATTTCTCCTTATCTTTAGCCAAATTCACCACCAATTCTTCTATCTTCTTTGTTAGATTTAATAATAAGGCTTCATTTGGATCTTTAACAGTCCCATTTGTGAGCAATTCCGATTGTTAATAGGTTCGTGATGTACAATAAGGTGTCATCATTATTGGCGCTATTGCTTGGAATAGTGTAGCATTAATTGATTGTTGCAACATAACATTCTTCATATTGGAGGCAGCAGTTTGTGGATAATTATCCATCGACACATTTCTTGGTTGTATTTGTTGGCTTCTTGAACTTGGAACTATTATGGCCCTCATTGTTAACAATTGGTCATAATAAAGTTCTTCTCACACCTTTGCTTGTGTCAACAATACCTCTACCGTAGCTGGTCGAGCCTCTTTTACAAATATTTTCAATTTTGGTGGATGCAAACCATTGATTAATATCGACAATATAAACGCATCTGGCATTTGATTATTTGACCATTTACGAAGTATATTTGCAACCCGGCCAAAAACTTTCTCAAAGCCGATCTTCAAATCCAATTGGTCTAAAATGGATTAGGAAGGCATTTCTCAAGGCCTCTCAATTGGGAAATCTATCCACTGATTGCCGATTATACCATTCAAAAGCTATATCTTTTAAAGTTACTGACAACTTTAAATTATGGCCGGTTTGATAATCTTCTCCTTCATGATTATCATTCATAATCTTTCATTCTTCTTTACAAAATCAATACTGCCTTGAATTATAACTCACATATTTGTAACTGTAAAATTGGTTCTTTTTACCTCTTCATTCAACATATAATTCCATCTTCCATACAATCAATTTCTAACATTTCATATTGTTATCATTTCCTCGGCAGTGGCACCAAAATGTTGTTCTCGTTGTGTTCAAGCTTCAATATATCACAACAATTGAACTAATAGGGATGGGTTCAAACACAGGGAAAGACTGGTTATATGAATTGGGTCTGTTAGTGTGACAATTGAGTGTACTTCAGCTATCTAAAATCAATTATCAACTACAAAATACCAAGGCTTACTACTTCCATCTTAATTCAACCCATAATCAATTCTACGACTATCAATTTAAGAATACTTCCATATTCTTATCCGTTCATCTCCCACTTACTCTCTTTGTGGTTTATATATATATTCAATTACTGATCTCAAGCTTACCTATTATATTCAGTTTCTCAATTCATCACACAGAATTCAATATCTTAGCTTACAACTCTCATAGGCTGGCACTCAAGACTAACTTCTCAGTATTTAGGAACTATCCATTACTCATCAACAACAAAGAAATAGAAAAGAGGTAGCACCAAGCTTGTCGCGGCTTATGACTCTCATAGTCTAGCCCTCATCTTCCATTTCTCAATCTCTTTATCCTACCAAAAGATGGACCGTCGGCTAGCACATTCCAAAGATTATGACCCTTTGAATTCTTAACCATTTATTCTACTAACAACCTACTGTTACCAACTAAACTATCTTACCATCAGTCTAATTCTCAAGGTTATCAATAACCAACCAGTAACTTACCACAAAGTCTATTTGCCTATTCTACAAACTATAACAATTGACTTTGAATTAGACAATGGCTATCGACATGCTACCAAAGAATAATCTAACACTGGCTTTAATTCAAATAAAATGGAACTAGACTATTTCAAAAATCTAAGACTCTTCTAATATATAAAAATATAAATTCCATCACAACATAGGATATAATAAATTACATAAAAAAAATAGAATTGAATTGAACATGAAGATGCAAAACCAAACTTTATTAAGAGAAAGGGTTCAAAGCCATATTTGATTAAATGACCAAATTGCCTTAGCCAGTCTTATTTATACTTTGTCCAACCATCCTAGAATTTTCTAAAATGTTCTTAAGAATTGAGATATATGGTGGATCTTACCTAAATAATTACCTTAAAGTTTTTTAGAATGTTCCATGGTAGATCCTACATAGCCCACAAATCTAGCTCCAATTCTAGAAAATTCTATAAACTTCTCAAACATAGCTCCAACTATCTATACCTCGTTACAATCACAACCTTTAAGACAACTTAATAGAAATTGTCTTTAAGTTGTCTTAAAGACAATATATATATATATTGTCTTAATTTCCTTTATATATATATAATAAATTTTTATGATTCTTGCATTTGAAATAAAAGTACAAATATTTAGTTTATCTTTTGAGTGGCAAGCCATTTGAAATTGTACAAAGGTTGTAAAAAGTAAGACATAGATTCTATACAAATATTGAAATATTTTTTTAAATTTCTATATTTTTTAGAATTGAAAATTGATATAAAGAAGAAATATTAATTTTTATTGCCAAAAAAAATCTTTTAGCCATGAAAAATTTATTATTGCAATAATTTTAATAATTTTGGTTAATAGATAGGATTTTTATTTCTTTTTCTTTATATTGTAACTAAGCTTCTTTAGAAAATAGATGTATCAATTTTTATAAAAACACAACATATATATTATAAAATTTATCATGTAAAAATAATTATAATTTTTTCATAATATCAATTTTTATACAAAATATTCAAAAATAATGTTTATTAGATAAATCAAAATTATTAATTCAAAAAAATTCAAATTAGAATTAAAATACATAAATTATCTTATAATATGATATAATATTGACATAATTTATGAATTGGATATATTATTTAAGTAATTAATTAATACATAGTATATAAAAATTATATATATATAAATTATTCATATATATATTTTAAAATTTTGCTAAGTCTTACGTGTATTTTGTATTTCTATGTTATTAAATACATAAAATAAGAAATAATCAAAATATGATTGATTTTATGTCATTAATGATTAATAAATCATATATATATATATACGCCCATTAAGTCAAAAAAATTAATTATTGGTGTATTAAGTTTTGATACTTCTAGTACTATTTATAATTTTTGGATTTTTCTAAATAATACTAATTTTAACACACACACACACACACACTCACACATACACACGCATATATATATATATATATATATATATCCACGAAGTTTTTTTGTTTAATGGTAGAAATTTAGATATTCACTTAAATAAAATGTAATGTAAATATATAAACAATTAATCTTTTAAATCTGAAAAGAAATTTGATTTTTAAGTTAAATAATGTTATTGCTGTTAAAGTGTACCTTTTTTTAAAATAAATGATATATGTATATATATATATATACACACACATATGAAAATCGAATATTACATTGACCCAGAACGAAGCACATGAAATTCATGTTCTTGTTAATTTTATCAACCTACAAAAAGTTCAAAATACATATTGTAATAGATTGAATAAAAAGACCTTAATAACTTTCCTTTTTTATATTTCCTATATATAAAATAAAATTAAAAATAAAAATCATTGTAAACTTTCTTTTTGATAAATTCAGAATGATAAAAATCTGAACATGACACAAACTTCCAGAACCAAAGGAAAGAAGTTCACCACTCCGCACTAGCACACTAAACACCAAACTCTATTTCCCCCACACAACCGAAAAAGTGCGGGAAAAAGTGAACCCGACATTCAGAAAAAGTGAAAGTCTTACGAAGTTTATCCAAAACGACGCCGGGGGGGGGGGGATAAACCCGACACAGAACAAGTGAAAGTCGGACGCAGCCCTAAACCCGGGCGGGAGGGTGGGCCGCGAGGGGTCGGGGTGGTGGAGCCTGGCTCCGAGGCGTCGCGAAAGGAAGCAGGGGGAGCAGTGGCAGATGCGCCACCGTTGCAGGCCACGCCACGCGAGTTCAGGCAAGGCGGGTGGGGTGGCGGAGGAGGAATCGACTGGGGCATTCTTTTTCCCTTCTTCGGGGTGAAGGGAGGGAGGAAGGGAGACCTGGTTGTGTGTGTGTTTGTGCGCGTTGTGGTGCCAACTAGGGTGCGGCGGGAGCAGCTGGGACTCCGGGTCTTACTACCTGTGTACCAGCTTTTCATTCACACACTGCCGTCTCTCTCGTGTGTCACGCTTGCGCTGGACACTCCCACCTGGATCTCTCTCAACACACCACCCCCCCCTACTCTTCCTCCTCTCTCTCTTTCCCTCAGATCACCGATCTCGCTACTCCTCTGGACTGTTGCTGTTTAGTCTAGCTTAGTCGATGGCGATGGAGCGTGCTCTGATGCGCTTGGTGCGCGCCCAGGCGTTGCGTGCCTCCTCGTCCATTGGGGTTCTTCAGGTTAGGTTTGACGGCGATTTGGGTTGTCCAAGAGGGTTGGAAGCATTTTTTTTTTTTCTTTTCAATTTTAAAGTTGCGGTTTTGCTTTCAATTTCTAGACGGGTGTTTGTGGGTCTTGAATTGGGTTTTTGAGCTGGTGTTTATTTGGGTGGACAGCGGGGACCGGTTGGAAGTGCATCGCCTTTGCAACAGGTGCGGGAGTACGTGGTGTCGTCGTCTCCTTCAGGTGCTCTTGGTCGGGAGTTTAGTGCTGAGGTTTGAGGGTTTGGGACGGGGTGTATGGTAGGGTATGATTTGCCTGGCTTGTTTGGTGATCGTAGAATGGGGATCTAGCTGCTGTAGTCTAGTATGTTGGAGTTTGGTTCATGTTTATTGTGTCCAATCACCAGGATTGCTGTATTGTCACCTTTTACTTATATTCTGTAAATTGGTGTCTGTCTGCAACAGATGGTGTCTCTCGTACGGATTTGAGGTATAAAGAACACAAAAACTGTTTTTATACTTTTGAGAGCATCTGAAAGTGATCTAGATTAGTGGCTTCATCAATTTTTTGGTGGAAGTCAGTTTAGGGTTCTCGGTAGCGATGGAGTTTGGCTTGTAGATACACTTGGGGTGCATGGTAATGTGTATTAGTGATTAGTTTTGGGGGAGCGCCTCGCTTGCCAACAATTTCGAGACTTAGAATCCAGTGCACATTGTCTACATTTTACATATCATTGTTTGCTTCCCCCTATTTAAGAGTTGTGGAGTGATATGTTCAATTCTTTGGAAATAATTTAGAGTTTTTCCTGTATTGGGCAAGGAGAGTATGGTTGGCTTGGTATGACATTTGGCTTTATTTGTGATTTATTTTAGTGAGTCGTTCATCAGTGTAAGGCAACCCGTTTGGCAACAATGGATAAGACGTTACGCAGCAGGGTCAGGTATTCCTTTCAGTCCTGTTTGAATGCTACTGGAAGCTTTACATTCGTAGAGACCTCTCGGCATAATTTTATTGTGTTCTTTGGTACAGTTAAGTAAGACACTGAATCATCGCAGTGGCGTTGCGATGCCCGCATGCTTTGATCGATCCTGAAGAGTAAACTACTGTGATCTGTGGAGGGATGCTCACACGAAGGTTTATTTGTGTCTTTGTCAATAACTGCAGGAGAACCCGGAGTAGTTGTAGTCCCATTCATGGGGGAATCTATCGAAGATGGCTCTCTTGCAGCAATTTTGAAGCGTAATTGATCACTCAATGCCCGACACTCTTAATTTCTTCTTTAAATTTGTAACATTTCAATGCTTTACTTCGTTCTCTTCAGTTGATTCCCTCCGACCCAGCATTTTTATTTATTTTTTATTTTTTTCCCTCTTAATCTGCGAGGGAAAATTGAAAAGTGATTCGAAATACAACTGGGTTTTGGGGCTACAGAACCTGGCGATGCCGTTGCTGTGGATGAGATCATTGCCCAGATTGAAACTGACAAGGTTATATAACCTTTCTACTCTTTTCCTGGGAAGACTTTTTTGGTGTCACAAGCTGAGTTTGATTAGCAGCTCTTTGAACTGAGTACTGGCTGATTAACGGGACCCTCGATCCCACCTGTAGCTAACCTCTATCTCATCAATTGAAAACTAATCTACTGCTTGATGTTGTAATTTTTAGGTTACGATTGATGTGCGTAGTGACGTCGCTGGAAAGATTGAAGAGGTACTGTGTCTCGTCTCCGCATTCACAAAATTAAGGATTACTTGACAGAAAAGTCAAAACGATGAATTATTTGTAAGATACGAGTGGTTTGATTGCAATGTCGATGACGGCTGCCTAGTCAAGTTTTGAAGTATTTCTGGAAATCTTTAAAGTTGGAACTTTGTATTCACCACGTCTGTCAATTCAATCTCGTAATGATAAATGCAGATTCTATGCAAAGAGGGAGATACAGTGAAAGCCGGAACGCAACTCGCACGAGTAGCCGTTGGAGAGGCTGGAGCTACGTCGGATGCTCCCAAGAAAGAAGCCGCTCCTGCCCCCCCTGTGAAAGAAGAAGAAAAATCTGCTCCTCCACTTCCTCCAAAAACTGCGACCGCTTCAAGCGCTTCACCCAACAAGGACGCTCCATCTCCACCCAAACAGTCTTCCCCGGAGCCAGCCCAACCTAAATCTATCAGTGGAACGGAAGTACACATGCCAACAAAAGGAGGAGAGCGACGGGTAAGTCCTTGTGACATCATAACACATGCAACCGTTTGGATGTATGCATGTCGAGGTTATCTTTTTATGGTGGTCTAAACCTGCGCTGCCTGTTGGGAGTGTATTTACAGTTTATTGTGGCTTAGAACTTGGATGTTAGGGTAATCAACGTCTCTTTTTCGTTTTCAGGTACCAATGACCCGACTACGAAAGAGAGTGGCCACACGGTTGAAAGATTCTCAGAACACTTTTGCATTGTTGACCACCTTCAACGAGATTGACATGTAAGATTGAGTGTCTAACCCGAATTTGCGAGATGTGTACCCTTACAGTGTCTAATTATATTAAAACTATGATGATTTTATGTCGGTGTTAGGTAGCTTTATGTTGTATATGGTATTCATTCAGTGAGCTATTGAGTTGGAAGAATAGTCTACAAGTAAACTGAACTTGGACTAGACTATCATGTTATCTTATTTTATTGCATGCAGGTCTAATCTGATGCAGATGCGCACTCAGCATAAGGATTTGTTTCAAGAGAAGCACGGTGTGAAATTGGGATTTATGTCTGGATTTGTTAAGGTACCCGAGTTTTTTCACCTGCTTCAGTTGATGTAGATACGCACTAGGTCATAGTTCCGGTTGTGGCAATATATAAGAGTAATAAACTATTGTTCTTTTACAGTTTCGTCGATCGTAGTATTAAAATGAGCAGTCATCATGAACCTGTTTACAATGTTGCTCGGTTGTTATGGCCCACCATAAACCCTAAGCTCGTCATCACTGCTGGTAATCAATGACTACTACAACTTTGACGATTTTAGTCTTGGATTTACAGGCAGCCGTGAGTGCACTCAAGCAATTTCCTGCTGTCAATGCTGTAATTGATGGAGATGACATCATCTACCGAGATTACGTTGACATCAGCATTGCTGTTGGTACAGCCAAAGTAAGTTCAAACTTGGTTCAAATGTGTGTTTCATTGTCAACACACGTAAATTGATGATCCTAACAAGCTTCTATGTTACTAAGAGTATCTTTTCATGTAGGGACTTGTTGTTCCAGTGATCCGTGGAGCAGATCATTTGAACTTCGCTCAAATTGAGAAGACCATCAATACCCTAGGCAAGAAAGCAAATGATGGGAGCATTTCAATAGATGATATGGCTGGCGGTACTTTCACTATATCCAACGGTGGCGTCTATGGGAGTCTCATCAGCACTCCCATTATTAACCCACCACAGGTAAGTCCAGGCTTTTTACAGCTTGCGAATGTATGATATCTGGGTTATGTACCTATAAGATAAACAACGATCTGAGTTTCTTTTCTGAAGTAAAGGTGCAGGCTTTCAAACAAATTGTTCAGGCAATTCTTGTGTACAATCTTCTGCCAGCGACTTTGGCAACCCTCGTAGTTGGGATTACAGTTTATACATAGTTCATTTATGTCTGTTAATGTTGTATGGATGCAGTCGGCAATTCTGGGAATGCACTCGATCCAAAAGCGCCCTGTGGTAGCAGGAAACGACATTGTTGTCAAGCCCATGATGTATGTGGCCCTCACCTACGACCACCGGCTAATTGATGGAAGAGAAGCTGTTCTGTTCTTACGTGCAGTTAAAGACAACGTCGAAGATCCACGCCGGCTTCTGTTGGACATATAGTTCAACCCCCACGTTATAGCACCTGTTCTGCTTTTATAGAGCGAGTTTTTCTAATGTAGTTGGAAACCTGCTGAAGCTGCCTTGCTAGCTGCATTCGCAAGTATCAAGGGTTGCTGCAAGTGTCCAATTTGCGATGATATGACTCCTTGAATATTGATTCCTTCATCTTTAAAATTTCGAGGATCCAAGACGAAGGATTCTCGAAGTCGGAGACATAGCTAGTAGCGAGCTATGAGCAGGCAAGAGCTTTTTCCTATTTGTACCTTCACATGCAGTAGAAATTGTGAAATAAATGTGTCCTTCGGCTGAGCAGAAGGCCCAAGTGAAACTTTCGAAGTGACATTATTAATTTCAACCGTCAATCGAACCAAAAAAGCTTCCTACATTCCTTTACGAGAAAGTAAATTCTGAGGTTCTACAGTCGGAGCTATTAAGTAAAATCTACCACTAAAAGAATTCCAAAAAAACCGTTCGTCAGTACAACGCTATTGAAAAGCGGCATATATGTTTCCTAATAAAGTATACATACATGTAGAGGACAAGCATATTTCGTGTGGCTTCGTTGAACTATAGTTCGTTAAACAAATCTCGATGTAGAGGACAAGCTTGTTTTTTCACAGGAGTTATATTTCATTAAAACGAGGCTTCACAATTATGTGAGCATATTTTTAATCTCCATTTAACGTCAGGAAGAAATCCGAAAATGAAGACTGAATATGGAGTTTCCATAAATAATTCAGTCTGAATTAGAGAACCTAAGTATCTAAAATATATCACTTACCATAAATAGAGGTGCAAAATGATAAAATACTCAGTCTTCTGTACTTTTGTCATTCACACACCTATTTCGTCATTTTCCTCAAGTATTTGAGGCAATCAATGACGTGAGTATATGCTAACCACTACTATCCACAATCACAAAAACCAAAGAAAGCAAACATATGAGTAGTTTAAACACAAAGATTATTTCACATTCTCAAATACTCTTGAGGTGACAACTAAAAAATTAGACCTAAGACGGATTCTTTATCAGGCATGCTTGATACGCAAACATGACCAGCGATATTATAAACAGCTGAAACCAAAACACGCAGACACGGCCATTTACAGCATATTTCCAAAATATGTGAAAAATTTAGTGACTTGGAGTAGTATCCCAACATCTATAATCGATAAATAAATTATAAATAATCAATACAAAATGAAGAAACTAGTGGCAAGAAGCATTTTACAGAACGTTTATAAAAGATATGTGGTCATTAAATAGCCCTTGAATTTCTTCAAATTAACACAAATATAATGCTCGATGCATCAGATTCTTCAAAGTGGCTAACAAACAAAAATTACACCACAAACTGACACAATTCTAACAGAGGATGCACCACAAAATACATAAGACAATATAATTTCAACCACACTTCCAAGTATATTACCAATGGTTGTCTGAATGGCTGATACAGTACCGTAGTGATGTCTCACACAATGACATCCACAATTTTCATCATGTTCACAAGACTCCTTGTTCATGCACGCGATGAACACCTTCGCTTCTATGAGCATGCAATGTGGCGCTGTGAGACGTTTTCCCTCGAGAAACAATTCATCTATATCACTGCATCTAAGTGACCCTAGTGTGCACCTCTGGACCCCACATCCATGCGGACCAATTCCGCCAATCGGGTTCGGATGTGAGTGCTTCTGGCCCTTGCGACATACATGTCACTTTGCATCTCCACAAGTCGAGACACGGCACGAGGGGCTGCCTTCCTCGTAAAACTTGCCCCCGTCAGGTCTGCCAATGAAGCGCCCTGTCTTCCAGTGGCACTCCATTCCATGTTGCCTATCATCAACGTTGACCTGCCCGAACTGCCTCCCTCGCCCACAATCCGAATTCCTTTCTCTTCTGTTGCGTCCAGGCTATGTCCTCTCCCAAGTACACATCTTTGCAAAGGATCAAAGAACAGCGAATCCGGCGGAACCTCGGCCGAGCATATCAGTATGGTGTTGGTTTCGTACAGTATGTCGATGAGGTTGATGAAACGCCGGGCTTCGTTCTCACAGCTTGGATCTGAAAGTCTGGGAATCCTGCACACCATACCCCCTTCATTCGTTACCACACCCTGACATCAAGCCTCGATGCATTTTCTTTCATCCAGACACGCCGGTACCACTCTTCACCTGCGTGCCAGTGACAAGTTCAAATCCCTTGTCACAACAACGAATCGTTTACTCCACGTGGGTCCTACCTGTCCAGAAGTAGTACGGAATACATTTCAGCAATTGCGATGTAGTCTGCAGCTCCGAATGCCGACTTGCACAAGTAACTAAAAGAAGCTCTTCCAACATCTTCCGCGGCCAATATGCGAAAAGACCTCCCCATGAAACCCTCTATCCGCTGATCCGTCCCTTCCACTCCTGCTTCACACAACGCTTCACTCAGCTCCTTGCACTTGGCTCTAGAAGCAATGACCACGTACATGGCAAAATTTGCAGAATCCACAAGCTAAATTCTGAAAGTGCTAGGTTCAGCGTCATGACCGATCTTTCTCATCCATTTACGCATCAACCTTCCCAACCAGAAGGCATCTAGGAAGTGAAAAACTTACACCACATGGCCGGGAAGGTTGCCACTACCCTTTGCGAGCTGCGAATTTGGATTATGTAAGTGACTGCTCGGTGCTTCCAACTAATCCCTACATTGCTGTTCGTCAGTGACTCTCATTAAGCGCCAAGTACTCTTCCGCTCCGACCAACAAACACAGTGGACAAGTTCGCAGGTGGACACAGTGATGCTCACCTGTCAGTTTCAAAAACCATTCATCCATGATGCCGTCGACATTTTCCGCGACGGGACAATGATACAAATGTCCCGACCACGCGTGACGACGCCGATAATCCTTCCCATCCATTGTGTTCAAACTGTAGACATTGCAGTTCTCCTTTAGCCGGCGGATGAAAGGTAAGAACTGTCAAGCACATGAATGTGTGAGTACCACACCTATCCCACGCTCGCCAACTCCGTGGTGCCAAGCTCCACAACTGCACCTCTGCCGTTAGTGACTCGGCCGTAACCACGAAGCGCCCTAACAGCTAAATCAGGCACAGCTGCATGCTCCTAAGAAGTTTCACACCCCATTATCAAAATGACAGTCTCACTGACCAGCTGCCGGTTCAGCCCGTCTTCGTACAGCTGATCTGGGGCTGAGTTGGAAGTCGCCACCACTACGATGCCCATGGCCCACAAAACCTCGAACAACCGCTTCAGCATCAGCGCGTCTGCTATATCTGTTACTGCGATTGCCGTCAAACACTCTGTAAGTCACCCTCATATTCTCATCATCACCTTCCTCCGCCCAAATCCTAACACAATCAAAGCTGCGTATATCTGCCCTTAGCAGAAGATTTCAACCTAATCCGTCCTCCAAAATGCACGCTTCTCGTGCCCCTCCGTCCATCCAACCCAAGACCTGTATCGAACCATCTCCTCTCTGAAAACGCAGCGCACGTCTGTGCAAACAAGACGGCTTACCCTCAACCTCGTCCAAACACAGCACGCGAGATTGCTCCAACAGTTGCCATGCTACCAATCGAACTGCGTCGTCGACCCTCCCGTACTTGTGCAGTCGTTTTTGCACATCCAGCCTGCCAGCCTCCGATTCCCACCATCAGCATCCGTCATCCCGAGCCCGTAATCCTGGCTGTAGCGCCTCAACATGCAACACAAGCAACAAGCAAGCTTGAAACAATCTCCGGGTCATCCGAGGCACCAACATGAATGAATGGAAGTGTACGCGACGCTTTCGGCGCACAGGCACTTGATTGTAGAACAGATCCATCAGCAATGTCTTCCCGGTTCCCACGCTCCCATGCATGTATATGCCCAACTGCGCGGAGGGCTGGTACCACCTCGCCATTCGCTGCCACCACCTGCCGGTAAACACTGCATTCCGTCAACGACCTCACCCACACGAACGTATGCTCTCCATTTACAACGTCCATCATCCCACCCCGTCCATATGCACACACCAAAACCCTTCCACAATGCGCAACCGACTCTTCGTAACAGCCTTGAACACATACATGCAAAAAGTGACCGTCAACAGGGCACTACCTGGCCTCTTCAGCCCGTTCCAACTCATGGTGAAGCTTTTCAAGAGCTTCCACAGCTCTCACCTACTCAAACCCACAATCTTTAGATGTCAAATTCACCATCACCATTCCTTTCATGCCTAGGTGTCAACCACCATACCAGGCGTCAAACTGACGATACACATGGTACGATTCTGCCTTCCTCAACTCGCCTATTTGCCTACAAATTAATCATACGCATGCCAACAATCCGTGCTGCTCTCGCTTGCAATACTACAACCACACACTGTCGTCACCACATTTGATGCGGTCTTGAACCGAGAATCTCCCCCATTCTGCAGTCCTGCAGCTCTCGGGAGACCGCAAACCTTCGAAACCTTCGCACAGCTAAAACCCAACCGAAACATCACCAAAGAATCTCATGAAACTGCTGAAGAAAAACAACCCATCTACCACACGCACCTGCGCCAAATTGCCGGATTCCAACTCGCCTCTCCGAATACTATCCTTGTACATTACCAACGGGCTAGAGCCCCCGCTCCCGTAGCACCGACATTGCACCCACTCGCTTGCCACCCCCGCACCCTGGATGCCTGCACCGCAATCCACACAGGGGTTCCGCCAACTCAAACCACTCGCCCACACTTCACACCCATCATCATTTCCTCGCACTATTACGGTTCGCACGGAAGCTCACCAAACCCAAAGAGGTGGCGCACACGCGACGTCATTGAAAAACAGAGGCACCTCTTGTCATAGCCAGAAACGTTGCGACAAAACCCAGTCAGCAAATTCTGCCGATGGCAGACAACTCAGCAAATGCCGGCAGCAGATACCGCACAACCAACCAAACGAAAACGCTCCATGAGTCGTCTAAGCTTCCCCTGAAATTAAGCCCTAGCTTCCCGAACTGACGAACTCGCACCCAGCCACCACGCTGCGAACAAAACTGAACATCTTTTTCAGCAGACCCTTCGTCCCAGCTGGACAAATTGGCGCCATGTCATGCCCCACGCCTACACAGAAACATGGAGCATCGGCGAGTACAAATGCAGCGAGGGTGTTCAATTCAGTAAGGGTGTTCATTTCAGTAGAGATTGTCAACGGCATTCCGAGAAACCTATCGGAATAATTGATTTCGCACGGCTGCCCTGTGACCACTCCACTGTAAGGACCTACACAGTGTTTGTCGTGAACATGGCGACTGACGCGGATAACACATCGTCACGCAACGCATGTTAACAAAAGCGAGTGGAGGGTGTGTGCCTTTCTGGCAGACAGTGACTTGTTCTCGCAACACGTTCACGTCCAACATAGTTCCGTGAGTACACATTCGCGATTTCAGTCAAAGCTCGTTCTCTTCGCGTACTTCCACTATAGAACACTTATCCGTGAGTCCTCCCAGGGATTAAATACAATGCATCAGGACGACACCTAGTGACAGACATCAAAACCCAGTACTTTGTACGCCCACGCCCAAGCAAATCAATTTGTAGTCTCAGAATGCAGAGCGGTGTCCATACAATTTACGACCGCCCATCCGCCCACACACACACACAGATCAAGATACCACCCACGCTTGCCACACCATCATCTCATCATGCGATTACCATCCAAGTATCTAGAAATCTGATACCAAATTCATCATTGTTGCTGCCTGCACGACATTTGAAATCGAAGACATAACCACCTCCACTCTTCTCGCAAGCACTTTAACACTCTTCACCTCCGACCACAACCCTCCATAGATCCACGTACTCTGGCACAAATCGACTCATCCATTTATTGCAACACGACATAAACCACAAGCCGTGCAAGAGAGTTTCCGGACTCCATGGAAAACAGGTTCCTGGAGAACCCTGCTAGGCTCGTGCATTGTCTCACGCCCATCACGGAATCGTGCGGCCTCGCCCACATGGACCTCAACAATCTCACTACCTCCCATGCCATCTATTCCGCAGTGATGTGCAGCAGGACTAGCACCCCTTCCAACCCGACAACCGAATCCCCGCAACCGAAAGTGGTTCGTGCTCACGCCGTTCAACATTGCCCACTTCCAACCACACACCCCCTGCGCCCTTGACCAACACAGGCAAACGACTACTGCGCCTCTCCCGATTGCACACGACCTTCTGCTCGAATCACAGAGCTAGGTCCCCCCTCTGATCCATCCCATCGTATGCGGTGCATGGACTTCAACACAACCACAACCCCACCTCATCCTAACCTCGCGTCATCAATCACACCACCGACCCGAGTTCAGACTTTCACACGCGCCGTATGCCATCACAACAACTGCACGTGCTTCCAGCTATATCCCAAACCCCGCGACGCACGCAAAATCACGTCATCCTCGGCCTCGCTCTACATGCACGCATCCAACTGCACAAGCACACAAGTACACCCTCATCCAAACTCCTTGGCTCTCCACCCTATCCGACCTGCCCATTGCCACTTCGACTCATGACTCCGCCTGTCCCTCCCAAGCGGGTGGCGCCCACGACGTCCAACGACGCGCCGCACTTCGTTCACCACCACACACAACAGCCCACGCTACTACACAAAAAAGAGAGGAAGCATAAAAAGCCCGTGTATGTAAGGTGACAATCTCGAAACACCACATCCGGCATCGCAAGTTCTTCGTCTGCAAGTCTGCTATGCTTCACTGTTCCAATATGAAAATAATGCTCTGTTCACAACATGTACACTATACGCTCACAAAGACTTGCCCACCCACTCACGGGCATCCAGACGCCCGCGTCCACACGGGACGGGCGTCTTCTCCGGCGCCGGTCTAAAACGGAACCACCGCCTCACCCGCTCCCGCGTCCCAACGTCTGCATCGCGCAGATCGACTCAACATCCCCACCGACCACACCCGCCAGGGATCACGGGCTCACAACCTCCACGCGCAAGTCAACTCCCAACCTGCCGCCATCCCCCCTTCGCGAATTCCAACCGTCCGCTCGCCAACCCCGCCATGCCTCCTCTCCGCTCGCCCCGCTCGCCTCCAGTTGCACCCTCCTCCCGGACCACGAATCCCCTGCCATCCAAAATTGCCTAGCTTGCCCAGGACCTCCGGCCCCGATTGCACTATCCTACTTCGCCCTGAAGTCGTGTCTGAATACCGTCAAATTCTGCGTGAACTTGTCCCTGTTCTTCGGCTCCAGCGTCCGCGTCACGTCCGCCATCAGCTTGTCGAAGCACCCCGCCAGTCGATGCTGTTGGTCCGGCGGCTGCGTCGCCAGTATCTGAGACTTCAGCCCCGTAAATATCTGCTCGTTTATCAGAATCAGCGACAGCATCGGCCTGCTCAGGCTCCATTGGTTCGAACAATCCTCGAACAGCACGATCTCGAACAGCGACTTCAATATCTCCGGAAACAGCGTCGGACACTCCGCGATGTGTCTCGCCAGGTTCACCGCTGCCGCCGAGCTCGGGCTCTCCTCCACCGTGATGTTGTTGAAGTAGAACGCCGCCAGATTGTCCACCGCCGAAGCGCACTGCGACGAAATGCTCACGTCCAGACACTTCACTCCCGTGTCCAGCGACCCCACCAGGTGCGCGAACGTCGCCGTGTCCAGGTTCACGATCACCGACGTGTGGTTGTGGCACAGCACCTCCAGCAGTGCGAAGTACGCCCGAGCCAGCTTCCGAAACGCCATGATGCTTGCCAGAGGTATCGACAGCGACATCTTCAACGCCATGTCCAGCGCGTCCGCCAGAGCTCGGTCGCCGTACAACTCGAACACCCCGAAGTTCACGTAGTTCCCCGCCAGCGCCCGAGTCAGAATCGTCAGCGCCACCCAAATCCCCTTGTACTTGTACGTGTACGGGTCCGACGGTGTCGGCAGCGCCAGTATCCGCGACCCGTACGCCACGATCAGCTTGCTGATCTCCCGGAACAGCAGGATCCCGTTCGGTGACGACGAATCGAACGTCAGCCGCTGCGTCTTGTTGATCACGAACTCCGCCACGAACTTCAACAGCGGCGTCGTCACCTCCGGCGTGTCCGTCCACTGCTCCATCGCTCGCAGCAGCAGCGGCGTGTGCGCCGGGTACAGCCAGTCGAACAACAGCCCGTACGTCCTCCGGCTGTTCGTCGCCATCGCTATCCCCCGAAGATCCCGCATCAACCCGATCAGCGCGAACTTCACTCCGTCCGACCGAAACACCTGCTCCGGCGTCACCTCCAAGCTCACAAACACCTGCTGCAGCGACGATATGAACGCCTTGAACTTAGCCGAGCTGTCCTCCATGAACAGCAGCCTCCCCAGCGTGAAGTAGAAGATCGTCCGGTTCCTCGAATTGCTGTACTCGTCCAAAAACGGAAAATACTCCCGAGTGTGGTTCTCCAAAATGTAGTTCACCGCGTCCAGCTTCAGCAGCAGCTTCCCGCTCATGTACCCCGCCGCCAGCTCCTGAAACAGATTCAGCGTCTGCTCCACCACCTCCTCGCTCTGAGCGTAGCACTTCAGGTTGGTCGCGATCTTCCCCACGATCACGTTCAGCACCATCAGATGGTCCTGCAGACCCAGCAGCTCGTTCAGCCTCGCGTACAGCTGCTTGCTCGAGTGCATCGCCTGGTCGCCCACGTACACCCTCCGAAAATTCTGAAAAAACGACAGAATCGCCAGATCCAGCCGCTGCTTGCTGCTCACCGCATACCGCTGCACGTGCGAACCCGTATCCGTCACCTGAATCAGCTGGAACACGCGCGCTGCCAATTCTCCGTCGATCACTTCTTGCGGCTCCGCGCTGCTGCTCGAGCTCTGCCGACCCCTCACGATCGCCCCAATTATGTGCACCAACCACGTCAGCTGACCCTCCATCGCCTGCAGCTGCTGGCTCTCCCCCGCCGCTTGCATCTTCCCAGCCCCCGTATAACTCTGCACCCATCACAAACATCGCACTCGCGTCACTACTCCACCCCTCACCTTCCACCCACACCTCCTCCTCATCAACCCCACCGTCCTGCGCTCTCACCAATGCTACCGCCACCCCTTACTCACCAATGCTACTACCACATACACACAAACACACAGGACCGACCAGGCATTGCGACACCACAGCCTGTCCCCAATTCATCACAACCCAACGCCCCCTCCACTGCCAATGCGCCACTCCCTCCGCCCATCCACCCATAATGCCTCATCCTCGCCCTTCCTCCGCACCCACAACAATCGCGCCGGACTCCCCTCCCCTCTCCCCGACTCGCACGCTCCCCACATTCCCACAACCCCATCCCGACCTCACAACTCATCCACATCACAAATCTCTCCACCGCATCCGCATCTCTACCTCTCACACTCTCCAACCCACTCCCATTCACCGCACAAGTCGTCACAACAACCAACAACCAACAGCGTATTTACCCGTCGACTGTACACTGCACCTGCAACACGACACCCACAGACCCACATCCCGTAAGTACAAATTGCTGCGCCTCGGACAACTGCGGCAATCGCTTCTCATGGAAGAAGCCGTACCTGCAATATGGGCTCCAGCAGCGCCACGATGTAGCTGCTCGTCTTGTCGTACTGGAACCGACACAAATATGGCAAGCTGTCCAGCTGGTCCTGCAGGTGCTCCTCGTTGTCCAGCGGATCCTCTGCGATGTTGTTCTGCAACACCGCCTGCACCGAGTCCAGCCTCGACGTAATGTATGCCTCCGTTATCTTCGGCACGTAGCTATCCAACAGACTCGGCGAGTCGCTCTTCAGATACGGCACCGACGACACCAGCCGCGACCACAGCCCCAGCAAGTAGTACACGCTCCCGCTCGCCCACTGCCACGATTGCAGTGACTGGATTGTGAATTCCGCCACCAGCCGGATCCAATCCCCATAATTCTCCACGCTCACCAATTCCGACAGCTGGTAGTTCGTCTTCAGCCGCCCCAGCAGCCGGCAATACTCGTGATAGTTCTCGTGCTCCGACAGCCCCTGCTGCGTCCGAAGGATCTCCCGCGTCCCCGACATCAAATGAGACAAAAACTTCGACCTCTCCGCCTCTCCCGAAAACAGCGACCGCCGTACCGACGCCAGCCGCACCAAGCACTCCAGCGCCTCGTTCGACAGCGGCGGTTTCGTGCTCGCGTAGTAGTCGAAGAACAGCTGCATTGTCGACGTATCCTCCAGAACCGGCCGCCACGACGATGGTATCTGAATCGTCCCCAGATCCTCCGAGCTCTCGTCCAGCGACGTCCCAATGAAATCAAACGACAGACATTTTAGCGACAGCGCGATTGCCTGCTCCCGCAACCTCTCGTCCGCCGCGTCCATCTGCAGCTGCTGCAGCGACGTCAGCGAAATTTGGAATATCTGAAACAGCGCCAGATCACGGAAGCTGCACGCCGTCTTCCGATGGTGCGTCAGCGACAGCCCCGGGTTCGATTGATTCATCTCCGACACCAGCTGATTGAAGATCTTCAGCCCTATCAGAAAATGGTCCACCATCCCCTGCGTCAAAAACTTCATCGCCTCCTTCACAATGTCCCGGAACCGGTCGTCGTCGTACCATCCCAGCTTCGTGATCCGGCACAGCAACTGGATCAGGCTCGTCGTCACGAACCCCTGCAGCTCCTGCCCCTTGCTCGCCAGAAACGTCAACACGTAGCTCCGGATGTCCAACCGCAGCTGCAACGACAACACATGCTCCGTCACCTGCTTCACCAGGCTCGAGCTCGCCAGCAGCTGCGCATACGGGCTGCTGCTGTTGTCCAAAATGTACTGGCACTGCTGTATGTACTCGGTGTTCACACTAAAACACGCCAACGTACTCTCGGCGTGCGCTCGCTCCGCCGGGTCCTGTGATGTGTACAGCCGCTCGCACAGCACGCTCAGGTGCGCCAGGCTCTCCATGGATTCCTTTCGCGAGCGAGTCCCTCGCTAACATCTCTCCCATCCACGACCCGCACCGTTATCCTCCCACCCCGACTCAGAGCCCCATCGCCCTAATCTTCCTCCTCCACCACCACAACCACCCAACCCACCAACCCAAACCCAAACCCAAACCCAACGGAACGCACTCCAAACCCTAATCCGTCCTCGTCTCCACACACCTTTCGTCTGTCGCTAGCGCCGCCTCCCCCTCTCGGCACGGTCCTCCCGCACCCACCGCCACACCCCGACGCCTCACGCCACCACCAGGATCGCCACGCCCACGCCCACGACGCAAGATCAGGAAGACAAATCGTGGGCAACAACGGCACGCGATGGGAGGGCGAGGAGGAGGAGGTCTGAGAAGGTGGGCGTCCGCGCGCTGCAGCATCCCCGACGACGCCCCGGTTTCCGGCTCCGTCCTGCCACTCCCTGCTGCGCTTCTTCTTCAACCATCCCGTGCGGGCTATCGTTCATCGCCGGATCGGCGTTCATCCGCAATCCACAACGTTCTCCTCCCGCTCGCGATGGGGCCGTGCTTGATTGCGTGCAATGTCACATGCCATGTCACCTCCGGCAACCAGGTCATACAGGCCTGAGCGGGTGACTTGGCGTGCCACCTCGGCTCGAGGTGGTTGCAGAGGATGTGCATGGGTGCGCCACGACTACTGAAGCTCCATCTGCTTCTGCGAATCGGTAGTCGCAACCCCGTCCAGCACTGCAAGTGGAGATTGGTCGTGAAGTTTTTACGGCTGTACACATTCCCTCACCGTGGGCTCTCGGAGTCTGCTCGTTGACGCTGTCTTGGCTGGTGCTGGTTCATATTTGTAGCAGGCATGAGGAATTTATGCATCCTTAGAAAGAAACATCTAACTTCCCGATTGATCATTTTTTCTGAAGTCGATTCATAAGTAGCTACCTCCGTTGGTCCAACAATTGCACCAATGTAGTTATTTTTTGGGGGGAAACTCAAATTGTTATCATATTGGTGGGACTGTGTGGGTATATTGACCAGGTGAAGTGACACTATAAACATGTATAAAGGCAAGCATTGTATTGGTTCATTTCTCTATCTAAGTTTGTTGTTGCTTTATGTCTAAATTAAATAATTTGGTACTAAGACAAGATGGGAGAAGCTCAAACAAATCCAAGTATGACAAGCTCAAATAATCCCTAGCATGATAAGTTCAAACAAACCTGAGTAATCATGCTTTAATTTCTTACCACCTTTTAACCTATTTCAATAAACTCAACTTCAATTAAAACTACCTAAATTCAAATCACAAAGAATCAAATCTCAATTCAAAATATTTAATAAAATCTTTGGGTGTTTTTAATTTTTTTCTTCAATAAAAGATTTATCTATATTCTATTTGATATTTGTATAAATAATTGTTGCATAGCTTTAAAAATACAAAATATTACATTGTTAGTGCAAACTAAATGTAATCATAATATATATTTTGTAACAAAAAATGTATCCAAATCAATCTTTAAAGCATATTATTGAATCAACAAAATTATAAGGTCAATATATTGATAATTGTATGTATTTTATAAATTAAGCAATTAGATAAAAAAATTTCATTACTTTGAAGAAATTATATATCTTTTAAGTTGTAAAATAATCTTCAAGTTCTTATAGTAGATAGAACCGAAGTATTTATAGCTAAATTCTTTTTTTAAGTGATGATTTTTTCAAAGCTTTTATATGGAATCCTATCATGGATATAGATATATATTTTTTATCTAGATAAGAAGTATTAGATAGAAGGTAAATCTAAGTAGATTTGATATTATCTTATATTAAAGCTTTTTAGAAGCTTCATAGATGGATATTTGACTTTATACATGTTTATAATTAATTGGTAGGATAGAAACTTGGTCAACAAGTTAGTTAGGTGTCATATGTGTTGGTAGCTTATGGTACAAGCTAATGATATAGCACACATATAAGAAACTTGCTGTGTAAGTTAAGACATGTGTCTTATACATTGGACACATATTGGAGATCTTATAGAACATTGCCACATAGTTCCTACTTAGATAATATATATGGAAGTAAGAGTAAAGCGTACTTTACTCTTATCAATATCTTTCTAGTTTTTATTCTTATTTTAAAACTTTTTAATCTTTTTATCATTGGCAATAGTCATTTTAGCTTAATATTATATTATCTTTGAGTGATTATTTAGTTTTTTTAAAATAACACAAGAGTATATTAATCTTTTAATTTTTTGAGATTTATATCTTTAACAATTTGACAAGAATGCTAATTTATTGTTCTTATCTTCTTTTAGAAGTGAATGAACTATCCCACTTCTATTGTTATGTTTTGAAGATTATGGACTATCCACCTTTAAACTAATATTTTAGTTTTTTTTAATACTAATTAATTTTTTTAAAGATATTAGTCTATCATTCTTTGTGGAAACTTTAATTTGGAATTAGATGTTGTAAATTACTTTCATTTAATTTGAATTATTTATAGAAAAAAATTATAGATGCTACTCTTAATAGAAGTGAGAATAAATTTGTAACTATTGTAGATCTTTACAAGCTTGTCAACACTCTTAGGATAGAAATGTCATACATCTCTAATGTCAACTATAGAAGTAGCATTTTGGTGCCTATGGAAGAGATCAACAATAAAGTTCAAAGTCTATACTATAAAGTTGTGCAGTTGAGAAAAGCAAGTAATTTAAGTTTATAACTGAATCCAAAAAATCTTGCTATTATAAATATGATGGAGGTAAAAATAAGTATGCTAGAAAAAATTGATAGAAAAATTTCAAAGTTTTGAGGATTTCTACAAGTAAAACTTTATATAAAATTGCATTGTTTTCAATATTTTGATGGATTTACTTAAATTTGATTCATAGATACAATTCTTTTTAGAGGTGCTTTCTATTGGTTTGCATCTTTGATGGAAAAAAATTTACGTCTTTTTTATGATTTAAATTTATTTTTAAAAGTATTTATGGCTAATTTTAGAGAAAATAATCAAAAAGGTAGTAAAAATCAAACTTATATCTTTATAATAAGAATCACATTCAGCTATTATATATGCTATTAAATTCCAAAACCTTGCTTATAATGTGAATTAGATTCACAAAGCTCTTATCAATTAATTTTGATATGGATTAATAGATAATATTAAAGATTTTCTATTGATAATACAAAGAATAGGTATCATGGACAGACAACTAAAGAAGAGTCGAGAAGGTTCTAAAAGATTTTAAGAAGATTCTTGTAGATCCTAAAAGGTTCTAGAAGATTTCAAAAGGTTTCAATAGGCTCTAAGAAGGTCATAGAAGATCTTAGAAGGTTCTAGGAGGCTTTAGATGATTTAGGAAGTTGCCAAAGAAGGATCTTAGGCTTGTTTTGTTTCCAAGCCTTATGGAAACTTCTCAAGAAGCTTTCTAGGACTTAGTATATATATATCAGTTGAGGTTGAGGGGATCCTCAGTCTTGACAATTCACTTCTTATGGTCTAGTCAAGACCTTCTTACCTTATATCTAGTTATTATTTTAATATCGAGCTATTTCTTCACCTTGAATCTTTGTTTTGTATATAGTCCCTAACAGTTTGTCAAGACTACCATAAAATAATATTAGAAGCTTGGTCTTTTTTAATAGAGAGTGGATTATTCCTCTTATTGGAACTACTATAGTATTCTAGAGATTTCAGATTACCTTCTCATAGACTAATATTATTCTTTTTTTAATATTCTTTTGATTTTTTTTTCTTTATACCATAGATCAGGTTTTTTTCTTTTTAGTATGTTTTTTCTTTGATTTCCTATGGCACAAGGTGGAAAAATCAATATGAAAATCTTTGAAGAGATCAAATTAGATTCTATTATTAATATTCTTGAAGCATTAAAGATCAAGACACAGACTTTGTCAAAGCAGAATAAAGAACTATATATGACCACACATAATGGTCAAGGAGCCGGAGTGCCTCAACCACCACATCAAATAGCAATAGAGGTTCCAAATTTTTAAATGACTATGCGTGTTTCAATAAACATAGAAGGTGCATCCATTCAAGGCAATGATCTAACAATAATAACAACAAAAGAACCAAAGATCATCCTTTTAGAAAAGTTTGATGGGAATCGCTTAAAATTTTATGGCTTTATAAACAAAGTATGACTAATCACATTGCTTCAACCTCAACAATATTTTATTGAAGTATCTCATGTTAGTTTGGTTAGAACCTTGCTCTCAGGTCAAGCTTTATTCCAGTTTGCTTCATTATTTCAAAAGAATTCTCCTATATTGCATGATTTTGAAGAATTTTTAGCAGCATTTGTGGAAGCATTTGGTGAACATGATAAGGTTCATTCTTCAACAACTATAATTTGAAGCCTTTGACAAGGAATGTATTCTGCATCAATGAATGCTTTAGATTTTTAACAATTAGCATGTGATATAAATTGAAGAGAAGATGTGTTGAGGAGTCAATTTTATTGGAAATTAAGAGATGATGTCAAAGACTTATTATTGTCTATGCCAGATCCTCAAACACTCAATGAAGCCATTAATCAAGCTGTGAAGTGTAATAACCATTTATTTCAACAACAATAAGATAAACGTTCTTCAATTATGCCACATATATATACCAATTAATTTAGAGCTTCTTCACCATCTATTTCTAATGAGCATTTGGAAGCAGAAGATATGCAAATTGATGCAATTCGCTTCAAACTTCTTTTTATGCAAGAAAAAAAAGCGTCAAAGGGAACTTGGCCTGTACTTATATTATGAAAAATCTAGCCACAAGATTAATAAATATTTAGAAAAATGCTAGTGTACATATCGAATGAAGAGTGCAGCCACATCATCAAAAGCTTTGCAAGAAAACAATGGTGTTTAGCCACAGTAGGGACTGTACAGCTAAATTATTCACTATCACAAATCAAAAAAGATCATATACTCTTTGCCAACCTTTCTTATTATTTTACTATACTTGTACAGTTAAGAATCACAAAACTAGAGTGTCATTCATTACTTGATTCAAGAGCCTTTGGATGTTTTTATTGATGAAGAAGTTTTTAGATTACACAAAATCTGTACGGTCAAACAATCCAAAGCCGTACATGTAGAAGTAATAGATAGTCAACCTTTATCATGTGGAGATGTCACTCATGAAACAATTCTATTAGAAATAACCTTTGACAACTATATCAACTAAGTAGTATTCAACATTATTAGATTACCATCAAATTTAGTCATTTTAGGACTTTCATGGCTTGAAAAATACAATCCATGAATAGATTGGATATTCCAAAAGTTAGAATTTCTTCTAATAGATCATAGAACCTCTAAATCTATGAAAAAGCTTCTAATATCCAAAAAGTCAAAACTTAAAGAACATTTATTTATTAGAGCTAGAACATTTGTGAGGGCAGCCAAACATGGCATTACGTTTAT